AAAAAAAAAAAAAAAAAAGATGGGAAATATTTTTCTATATATTCATCACATCTTTAGTCTAGCAGAGATCCTTATTCCCCTCAATCTGGTAAATTACGAGCTGTTAATTTCAAGACAAAGCGTCTCTGAATTTCACGTTGCTTTTCTCCTAATGGCTTTAATGGGCTTCCACGTGATGGGCCAGCGACACAGATGAGCCACTCATTATTACGTGAGCCCTCTTCTGCCTAAAGAATTTATCGGCCCAAACGTGATAATTTTTGTGAATGCCAGACGTTAGCACGCTGTTTAAGACCTTTCCGAAGTCCAACTTTCAAACCCCGCAACATTTTTTTGTTTTTATTTATTTCAGGATACGAAACTGTATAATTTTCATAAAAATGCCCAACACTGTAATATGAGGCCCAATAATTCTATAAACAATCCTGGCCCATCACGGTGACATCAGTAAGGTGGGCTCATCCCTATTGGGCTTGAGGCCTTGAGCCTTCTCACCTTTTGTCTAAATTCATTTTCTTAGATTTTTTTATTGTTTACTAATAATAATTTTCAAAATAAAAGAACAATAGTTTCTAAGAAAAACCTAACAAAATTATATGGTTTTAGTTTTTAGAAAAAAAAAAATATATAAAAAAGAACAAAAGACAAGAAAACAATGTAACTTTATGGGAGTTGTGATTAAAGATTTTACTAAAAATAGTCTTTCCAAAGATTTCCAATCTTAGGGCAAATGAGGTCCCAAAACTGGAAATATTCTTCGTTTGTACTCCGACAGGTAGTGGTCCAATCATGGCTCTACACGTCGCCAAGGCTTAAGATATGGGCCTGGTCCCCCCGCATTGGGCCCACAGTCAACTTGGGCCAGCTCAGCCACTGAACCCGCCATCTGCACCGCACAAGACTGCTGCTGCCTAACAAAAAGTACATTTTGTTTTGAGAGCACTTTTTAAAAAAGCTAGCTGGGTTGGAATTCTCAGTCATTTGTTACCGTACTTAAATTTTAATTTTAAAAAATAATTAGAACTATGGCGTGTGAATAGGGTTGCAAACGAGTCGAGTTGCTCGCGAGCCGCTCGTGAGCGTCGAATCAAAGCTCGACTCGAGCTCGAGTTTGACGAACTCGGATTGAGCTCAAGCAGCTCGAGCCTTTATTTTGCAATGTCGAGCGGCTCGATACATATATTAAATTACTAAAATGTCCATTATATATATAAATAGTATAACACCAGTGTTTAATGGTAATTTCACTTAAAATTTTCGATTCAAATAACATTTGATTTCGAGTCGAGCTCGAGCTATTGTATTTTCTTATCGAGTCGAGCTCGAACCTCATAAATCGAGTTCGAGCAGTTAAAAAAATTTCAATCATGCTCGATAAGGTCAATACTCGACTTGTCTTGACTCGTTTACAGCCCTACGTGTAAATAATAAAACAAACAAATTTTTTAACACATGACATGAAATAATTATTAATTAACAATACATGATACGGGAAAAGAATGCTAGTGTGCGTAAATTATATTAACTCTACTCACTATATACTCAAAATTTAACTAAACTTAACTCAATCACATTATCATCGATATAATCAATATAATTAAATAACATCAACCAATTATTCTTACAATCCACATCAACTTTAATTGATTATTCATTCGCTCGCCGAAGTTTAACTAAAAATCATTCCACATTACATATCTCATACTTTTATATCAAATTAATTTTAATTATTTTATTATAATATAAATTTAAAATCGTACTGACAACTAATCATACCAACTTTTTAAAAAATTAATCATGGTTAAAAAAAAAAAAAAAAAAAAACTCATGTTGAGTTATATATTTGTATTACAAGCACACCCGAGTCAACAATCTTCTATAAGGAATATGAAGAAATTTATAAATATTTGAATAAGGAACCAAATTGGGACTATTATGATTTTTATAAGATAATAAGAAATAGGATGAATAAACTAGATTACCTTTTTTCTTTCCTTTTGTAACTGCAATTCAAAAGTGGTCTTTGACCGCCCAAATTGCAACAGCTTAAAACCAATTTGAGTCGTTTTTTTTATAATTTTACTATTTTGTATTGTATTTCTGTATTAAGTTTTATATTTCTTTTGACCACCCAAAAGTTTTTAAATGTTTCCACATGTTCGTAATTGCTTCTTAACAAATATAAGTAGCAAAACCTTATGCAATCATTGAAAAATGTTCAAAAAAATTTTTACCAGTTCTTGTTTACAAATTTTTGAATCTCGTTCATCAGTATGGATTAAATCTAACGGTCAGCACTCCTTTCTACGGAAGAAATGTAACTTTAGCCATTTTAGCTTCATCATAAATTTCACGTTAGTTATTTGACTCAATTTTTGAATTGAGAATTAATTCTAAATTCATTAACAGTTTTATTGCATTTAGATCGTACATAATGAATTAAAATTGATTTGATATATAAGGATAATTTGTTGATTTTATTTGATTATTATATTGATAATATTAAAGATGTCGGACCAAATTAAAATTGAATTAAATTTAATCTGTGAATTAAATTTGGATTAAATATTTTATATACAGACACACCCCTTACAATAATGAAGAAGTTGTCCTTCTCACAGTAAAAAATCCCCTATTCATGTAAGGGGTAAACTGGTAAAGTTACATGAGTCATGGTTGATTTTGACACCTAGCTGCCAAGTGTGATCAAGGGGGAGAAGTGCGGTAAACATACGTGGGGCCCACTGCCCACTACTTATGGAGTGGTGTCAGCTGTAGGGCCAACCACTTGGCTCTGCCTCTGCTAAATATCATGGGCAACTGAATGAGCACGTAGGTTAGGTCGGCTGTTTAATTTGAAGTCAAATACTCGGTCGACGTAGTCAGCATGTTTGTGAGAAATTTAGTGGGTGATTTTGTTTATGGATTCAAGTAGTTTTTATTTATTGTACCGAGAAAAAAAAAAACTAGTTTTTATTTAGTTTGTTTTTTAACTATAGTTAATTTTTTAAAAATGTGGTATGATTAGTTATATTAGTGGATATATTAAAATATATTTAAATGAAATATTTAAAGTTGAATTGATGTAAAATAAAAGAAAAATGATTTAAAGTGATGGTTAGTTAAAATTATGTGAGTGGATGAATAGTGAATTAAAGTTGATGTGATGTGTAAGAATGATTGGTTGATATTATTTAATTATATTGATAATATTGGAGATAGTGGAGTTAGGTTAAAATTGAGTTGAATTTGAGTTTTGATTGATTTTTTTTACTGTACAAACTATATCCAATCGCCCCTTTAATTACTTGTACAACTTTTTTGTACAATGACAACACGACGTCGCATAATGTAGGTGGTTGAGATTTAAATAAATGTATGTTTAAGATTTAACTTAATGATACTTTTAAATTTGGACCTGCTAGTGCTTCCCCAACCTTGCATGGCGGTGCTCTACTCGACTTGTTAACTTAACAAGTTTATAATTGAATTTGTCATCACATTTATTACTATAAGGAGTCGAGTTCAAGTTTTAACTAGCTGAAATCGAATTTCAACAAGTCGAACTATAAAAAAATAATATAATAAATAATTTGTAAGAGTCGTAGCCATAACGAGCCTAGTCAAACCGAGCTCGCGTGCGACTCGTTTCATTTAATAGTTCTACCTGACGCTTTTTGGACGGGTCAAACTTGCCCGTATTCAAAACGGGCCAGCCAAGTCCCCCTATTTATAAAACAGGGCAGATGCAGGTAAACGTGGCCAAAACTGGTTTCGAGCCCAGTTTCTAGTCAGAACCGTCGAATCAGGGACAAAGGTTGGTCATCTCTGAATGGGCCCGAACAT